ATAAATCTTTCTTTTCTATTCCCTAGTCTCTCCAAATGAGAAATCCATGTCTGACTCAGACCCTCTCTCTTCTCCACAGGCAATCATTCTCTAATTCATATTGACTCTACCCCCTAAAATCGCCATTGAATCCATATCCTCTTTTCCAACTCCTAAGAATCTCTCACTTGGACTACTTCCAAAGCCTCCAGATTAGTCTCATCCATTGCTAATTCGTCTACTATACTGGTTCCAAGAGTGATCTTTCTAAAATAAAAATCTATCGTGCATCCCACTTACTTAAAACCTTCACCAACAAGAAAAAGTCTGAAGCCCAAAGTATGATTTTTGAGAGTCTTCATGATCTAGTGCTTGTGAACCTTCTTATTAGCTCACTTCTCATCAGTGCCCACTTCACACTTTATGTCCTAATGAGGAATGACTATGGGACTAACGACTAAACTGATCTTAATTCTCCAAACGTATCATGCAGCTGTGCAATGCCTGCAATGACCTCCCACCCAACATCATAATCCACCAGGCAAACCTACTTATCCTTTAAAAGCATCAAACATTTCATCCTCTTGGAGGGCTTTCCTCACCCCAAACTTCTCCCCAATAGCCATCCTAGCACGTACCTTACACACACACACACACACACACACACACACACACACATCCCTTTATTAACTTTTTAAAGTCTTTCCTCCCACAAGTCTCTTGGTTCCTCAAGGGCAGAGCCTTGTATTATTGACTCTACATCCTCTGTGCCCACCCCAGTACCATGTGCCTGGCTTATAGTAGTTGTTCAACAATATTTATTAAACTGAGTTTAAACACACTTTGGTAAAATGTGAAATCCTAAACAAGACTGGAATGTTTTAATTAGGCTCATTTCAACCATAAAGAAAACAAACACTCAAGTTACTTTAATAAGAGGTTTGGGAGCTGTATTAGAAAGCTATCCAGGAAATTTTTTTCTGTAGAGAGCTGCTTTTTTTCCCTCTGTTTCCTCAGCCCTTCAGTTTGCACACGGGTGATCCTGGCCTCACCAGACTCTCCCGTAACTCTTCAGCTTCAGTCCTCACTGCTAACAAGCAATTTATCTCCACATTATCTAATCCAGATTTCTGAGATGGTTGTTTTGGTTTTGGCACCAGGCCACCATGTCCCTTCTTTCTCTCTGGTGAAGCTACGGATCTGCTGCTCTATGGTTAGGTAACATGCCAGAAGCTCCATGACCAATGACTCACATTCCCCCAACTTTCAACTTAATATATCATTTTTATTTCCTTAGAACCATTGCTAAAGTATATCACTAAAATTATTTTGCAATACTTTTAAAAACAAGTCTTGCCAAGACTTGTTCACAGTGAGAAAAATCCTGCATATTTCATCACTAAACCAGCTATACTTTCCAAATATGCAAGGAGTTCATCCCTTTTTATTTGTAGATATTCACATAAAGAATCCTCTGGATTCATAACTGCTCAACAGCACTGGTTTAAAAAGCTTTTTTACAAGCTTTTTGCAAAATTTCTCTTACATTTATAACGTAAAGAAACGAGTAATCCAGACATTTCCTTGTTAAATTTTACCCTGTAATATCAAGTAACTTTATAGAACGATAGCACACACAATGGCAATCTACCACTAACCCACAAAACCTGTTTCTCCTCCTCCAAACTAACACCACAAGGTAATGATTGAAGGAAGGCAGGCCACTCATTGACAAGCTCCTGTGGTGAGGAAAGAGGAGTCCAGGCCAGGAGACAGGCACTCTTAGGTGGCCTCCAATAAAATCAGATTCTCAGTGCTATTAATCTCCTGAATAAAAATTAGAAAAAGGCTAATTAAATATCTGCTATATCTAGGGAGACATCACAGTTGCACTAAGAACAAATTAAACAGCATGAGAACACTAAACACATCACTGAAAGGAGGCGGCAATTCATTCACTAAAATATTCTGTCTATTCTGAGATTTCAATATTCACTGGAAAGAAATATTGTTAGAAGGAGATGGGGGAAAATCGGTAATGGCCGTTCAGATGATCTGAAGGAAAAGAAACTTTTCAAATGCAGATTGTCCTTACATTTCTTGATAGTAAGGGAAGAATTTTCTACTTTAAAATCAGGCAGGTGCTCTACTTAGCCAACTGTTTATTAACTATCCTCATTGGTGACTCATTTCAGTTTCATTTGTAGTAATGGGCAGCTGACTAAGTAATATCATAACCATCAGTTTAGACTATTGTTAATAAACATATAATCTTAACAGATCTAATTTCAGAGGACACAAATTGGTACAATTTAGAGTGCTGATGTTGTCTTTAAATGAGGCTTGGAATGAAGGCACTATTAGAAAGTTTTCATTGAATAAAAGCACTAAAGGGCAAGGGGTTGATTCATTACTTAGCAAAATGCATAGGTTTTTAAAAACAAGCAAAGCAAATGTTAACTTGAATGTCTTGGAGACGTTTTAGTCAAGCAGTAAAAGGGTTATAAGTCCTTATGCTCTTTTATTTATTTTTTTAAATTTATTCATTTTTTAAAGGGAACTTTTTATTTTATTTGTTTATTTATTTATGTTTGGCTGCATTGGGTCTTCGTTGCTGCGCATGGGCTTTCTCTAGTTGCCACGAGCGGGGGCTACTCTTCGTTGCGGTGCGCAGGCTTCTCATTGCAGTGGCTTCTCTTGCTTTGGGGCACAGGCTCTAGGCGTGCGGGCTTCAGTAGTTGTGGCATGCAGGCTCAGTAGTTGTGGCACGCGGGCTCAATAGTTGTGGCTCGCAGGCTCTAGAGAGCAGACTCAGTAGTTGTGGTGCACGGGCTTAGTTGCTCCGCGGCATGTGGGATCTTCCCGGACCAGGGCTGGAACCCGTGTCCCCTGCATTGGCAGGCGGATTCTTAACCACTGCGCCACCAGGGAAGCCGTCCTTATCCTCTTTAAAAAAAAAAAATAATTGGAGCAATAAACCAAGAAAATATTATATGATACCTACATTCTAAAGACTTTGATTTCTTTCCAAAAGAGAAGCTTACAATGATTTTAATTTACTAACTAGGCCTATTTACAGTTGTCAAACTAATAAAAATAGGAAAAAAGGAAGAAGCACTAGTTTCTTCGTGTTTCATAGTTGGAATCATTGGAAACTACCTGAATTGAATAAGTCAAAAATTTATATTATTTAAAGTCAGAAAGGTAAACCGGAGAACTAAAACTTATACTGTAACAATCAAAACTTGAGAGGCATCGGGGAGCGAGGAAGCAAAATGTAGTGTGCATCCAATTTCGCATCTTTAAGAGGAAGGAATCAATAGATACCATGTAAAGTTGATAAATCACGAAACGGAAGTATAACTTTTAAAGTAATAAAGGCAACCTCCAGAAGAACAAGAAATAAACTATCAATAGTAATTACCTCTGAAGGTTGGGAGGACTGAATGGGGAACACTTTTTATTTTATACTTCTGAACAATTTGCACTTTCCTACCATGTGCGTATATTTATTTTTTAATCTCGTTTTTTAAACTGTCAATAATCAGACACTATTTAAAAAAAAGAAAATGTACTATATTTCATTCTCTGTACCTAACTCACAGACCGTCAACTATAAAATGGAACACATTCTAAAGTGAAATATCTCATCTGTCAAATTAAAGGAAAGGTAAAGGAAGCAAAGCTTTTTTTTTCCCCACAGTGCAAAGTGCGTAGCTATTGTTTGAAAATCAAGACTTCCCTGATCAATTTAAGCAAAAACACGGTTACTGTCCAAAATAACTCCTCTAAACTACTACTAAATACAGTCAAGCTAATGAACAGAGAGAGGTCAGAGGCTTCACGGCAGCAAACAAACTAGAAGTCCTTACATCAAATCAGTAAGACATTTAGGGGCTTATATTTTCTTTGAAATCAAAACAAGAGAGGCATTTTGAAAGTTTGTTATCTTCACTGATCCTCTAAGGAATGTAAAAGTATGTACTGCAGTTTCAAACCTCCTAGTGCTTGAGTTTTTTAAAGCAATTTACTTCTGCTTGAACAAGCAGTAAGACAGGCCACAGCGGTCGGGTGTTCTGTTAACCCTTAGTTTCAAACCTTTATGCTCACACTCACAGTTCAACTTTCTAATGCTCCCAAATATAGTTATCTCAAAGAAATTTCAAACCACAGTCATACTACGGAATATGATTTAATACACTGATTTTAGGACTGGACCATTTCTGGTAACCACAATAGTTATAACTTAGGTAATAATATGAGTAAAGATCACAGATTTTAAAGCTGTGCCTATGCTCATCCTCTTCTCTTCTTGCAATATCTCACCCTATCGGACAGTCCTTGAAGCAAGACTGACAAAGAAGCGTTCACAAATTTTAATTTACATATATACAACCTAATCTTGGCGAGACATAAGTACCTAATGTATATCCCTGAAAACGCATCAACTTTACTCAAACAATAACTCCTATGTCTAATATACTGGCAGCCTGACCACAGTCCAGGTACACGTCGCGAACTCTTCTATGTGATAAAGACAAACCTGACTTAGAGAACCAGAGGCTTTAGGCCTGCTGGTAATCAAAAGGGTCAACAAACTGAAGCAATCCTGTCTTTTAAACCCATGGTAAACTTAGTTAACTAAGGCATCACTCAGAATCAACTCTCAACCCCTAATACATCCAGACTTAAAGACGTAAAGCTCTTGTAAATCTCTTGGTAGACGAGTCTCTTGGACCCACCAGGTGGACCTACTTACTCCAAGGCTCCTCCCTCGGACCCTGCTCAGGACCCTCAGCCGCGCGATTCCAGAGCGCCCTGCGCCACACCTTGGGGGTGCCGCAATCCAGTGCCCCGTGCTCCTCCCCCGACCACTCGGTCACCCATCCCGAGTCCCCCGACTTGCCCGCCCAGCCCATCCCTTCCACACCTCCAGCCCCCCCCCCCCCCCCCCCCTCCAGGCCAAGTCCAGCTGGCCTCTCCCCTTCCCTCTCACCACCACCCCCACCCCACACACTCACCCGCGGTAGTAGGCTTTCACCCGGACCTGGTGAGAATGGTCCCCACTGCCGCCGCCGCCTGCGATCGGGTGAGACATGGTACCGCTGTCTCTCTGGGTCGGCATCTCCTTCCTCCCCCGCCTCAACTCTGGAGGCCGAGGGGCGCACCGGGCGCCGTAGGGGACTCCGAGGCCCGAGTTTCTCCCGGAGCCGCGGCTGCCCGCTCGCCTACCTGTCCTCCACGCCCGCGGCGCGGGCCCAGAGGTCGCCTCGCCGGGGAAGCCGGAACCCGCACGGCTCCCCCCACCGCCAGCGGCAGACACTGTCTCTGCTGCAGCCAGGGCCCAGCACGCCTCCCACCTCCGCCCCTCCCACCTCACACGCTCCAAAGGCCCACATTCCGGGGGAGGGCGGGTGCAACCACCGATCCAACTCAAGATGCCCGGCTGAACCATTCTTACGGGGGCAAGGAAAAGGGGAGAGAGGAGGGGGGATGCTGAACATCACAAAAAACTTGCCGGCAGGGTGCCTTTTATGGGCTGTAACTGAGAGAATGTGACGACTGAGGTACCTATAGTTCTGTAAAAAGCCCCTCCCTACAAGGAAAATGGTGGGGGACAAATTCTGCGGCATCTCACCCCAGTTTCCTGTCTTGGTCGCGTCCGCGGTCAGACGGCTAGGGACTCGGAGTAGATTTGCCGGGCGGGTTTCTGGGACTTGGAGTCCCCATGGGATTCTGGGACTTGAGGTTCTTTACGTGTAGAGCGTCCCGCCTTCTCGCTGACCGTCTGTCTTCAGCTTGTGCCCCGGGACCCGTCGGCGTGGAAGTCCTGAATCCACCGTGGGCACCTGAGGACACTGGAAATGATTGGGGTTCCTCACAATCTAGACTTTGTTCTCTGGTGAATTCTTCCAATTGCATAAATCATCTCAATCATACAGTACCTTTTCTGGAAAGAAGAATTTGGTTACTGCCCAGCATAGCCTCTTTTATGAAAAGAATTTAGTATAATATATGTAACAAATGTAATAATGAATGTAATAAAGGAAGAAACTCAACTGGAAGGTATGATGGAAGATTGACTTTTCTTCCTTCGCTGCCCCCCATATCTTGGCCCTTGTAGATTGCCATTGCATGGAACAGGTGCACAATGAATATTTAGCCAATCAGTCAACCCATCCAACTATCCATGCATTGGCATTTTTTAACATCGTTAAAACATTGTTAACATCGACTGTTTTCCATAGTGGCTGTGCCGATTTACATTCCCATCCTAATTTCATTTTCTATTATTCATTGCTAGTGTATAGAAATACAATTGATTTTGTATATATCTTGAATCCTACAAGATTGCTGAACTCATTAGTTCTAATAGTGTCTCGGTGGATTCCTTAGAATTTCCTGTGTGCAAGATTATGCCATTTTAGAATACAGATTGATTTACATCTTTCTTTCCAATCTCGATGTCTTTTATTTTTCTTGCCTGATTACATTAGATAGAACTTCTAGTATTATGTTGAATAAAGAGAAGTATGTTAACATTCTTGTATTGTTCTCAGTCTTATGTGGATAGTTTTCAGTCTTTCACCATTAAATGTGATTATTGCTTTAGTTTTTTTGTAGATGCCCTTTATCAGGTTGAGGAAGTTCCATTCTATTCCTAGTTTGTTGCCTATTTTTATTATGAAGGGTGTTGGGTTTTGTTTAGTGCCTTTTCTGTGTCTATTGAGATTATCATGTGGTTTTGTGCTTTATTCTATTGGTGTGATATGTTACATTAAGTTTTATTTTTTTGCGGTACGCGGGCCTCTCACTGCTGTGGCCTCTCCCGTTGCAGAGCACAGGCTCCGGACGCGCAGGCTCAGCGGCCACGGCTCACGGGCCCAGCCGCTCCGCGGCATGTGGGATCTTCCCGGATCGGGGCACGAACCCGTGTTCCCTGCATCGGCAGGCGGACTCTCAACCACTGCGCCACCAGGGAAGCCCTGTTACATTAACTTTTAGATGTAAGCCAGTCTTGCATTCCTGGGAAAAATCCCTCTCAGTTATGACATATAATCGTTTTCATACGTTGCTAAATTCGGTTTGTTAATATTTTGTTGAGGAATTTTGAATCTACACTCATAAGCATGGTTTCCTTTAGTTCTTTAGACATGTTTATAACAGCTGCTTTGAAGTCTTTGTGTGCTAAGTCCAACATATGGGTCCTCTCAAAGACAGTTTCTGTGTGCATGGGTCCCATTGCCTGTTTCTTTGTATGTCTCATAAGTTTTTCTGTTGCAAACTGTACATTTCCATGGTAGCAACTCTGAAGACCTATCCAGACTGGCTCTAGGTCTGGTCGTTGTCGTTGTTTGCTTGTTTATTTGTGGGTTGGCCAGACTTGGTCAATAGACTCTTGTTTCCTCCACAGTGTGCAGCCTCTAATGTCTCTCCTCAGAAGGTGCAACTTTGGCATGCACACCGTCACCCTGACTCCTTGTCCCTCCCCTGGGGGATGACAGTGGTTTTAGTCAGGTTCTCTTTGACTGTCTCTTTTCCTCATCTCCCTATCAAGCTTTTAGCTGGTTTGCCTTTATGGATATAGCTCCCAGCTGTTAGCCTCCACTAATTGGCAACTGATTGCTCCAGTGTTTTTGACAGTGCCCTGGGGCATAAAATTGTTCCACAGTCTGATCCAATGGTCCTTTTTTATTTATAATTTTCACCAGTTATGGTGGTTTCATTGGGGCGAGTATACAGGGAGCTCCTCATGTTTCCATTCTGGAAGTGCTCTGACATTAATTTTTAAAGTCAGTGTGATGCAATTAAAATAGATACAGGGGCTTCCCTAGTGGCGCAGTGGTTAAGAATCCACCTGCCAATGCAGGGGACACGGGTTCGAGCCCTGGTCGGGGAAGATCCCACATGCCGCAGAGCAACTAAGCCCGTGCACCACAACTACTGAGCATGCACTCTAGAGCCCGCGAGCCACAACTACTGAGCCCACGTGCCACAACTACTGAAGCCCACGCGCCTAGAGTCCGTGCTCTGCAACAAGAGAAACCACTGCAACAAGAAGCCCGCGCACCGCAATGAAGAGTAGTCCCCACTCGCCGCAACTAGAGAAAAGCGTGCGTGCAGCAACAAAGACCCAACACAGCAAAAAATAAAATAAATAAAATTTTAAAATAAAAAATATAAATAAATAAAATAGATACAAGGCACAGACAGTTAAGCATATAGGATAATCAGGGCACAGAAATTATGTCATTTTTAGTAACAAAATATGAGAAACTATTGAGCCATCTCTTTAGTTTAAAGAAAACAGGACTCTGTTAAAGGGTTTAAAAGGAACCTGGCATCATATTAATCATATCTTTAGGAAAATATGGCTTCCTTTCTACAGATTGAGCTGCTCTAACAAGAAAATATCTACTCAGAATAGGTAGGCCTTTATATTCAATATTAACTAGCCTCACCAGTGTGTCCTGCTGTATATAGATCAAATATGAAAATTTGTTTTTCATGTTCTTTATGCCATCTAATAAATCCTGCTGCTGGATCTTTGATGCCTGTTTCTCAACTGAGAATCACATGATACAAAATGGGAAGTCAATGGTAAACATTGTGAAAAAGCCTCCCACAGCCCATTTTCTTTCTGTTGTACTTAAAATGGTGCTTACTAGTACCTTCAACTTTGGGTAAGCCTGCCTCCCTTCACCTAGCATTCTTCTGTGGTTTCATTAAGCATTTGATCATGTCACTAAAAAGAGAGAAAAGTGTTTCAACTGCAAGTCCTGATCATTTGGAGGGACTCTGTGACCTGTAGAGATAAATATTGGGCTCTGAGCTAAATTATACTTACTTTTGGCTCACTGTGATGACTTGAATAGAAAAAAAATTAATTAATGCTCAAATCCACCAGCTTAAGGGATTTAAAATATTTTTGGCCAACATTCTCTCATTTTGTCATTATCAGAGTGCTTGTCCCAATGTGCATCAAAGAAATAAACTGCTTGGTGAATGGAATGAGATAATAAATAGTAGACACATGTCCTGTGTAATCATGTCCTAATAGTATTACATTAATTGTTTTACTTAACCTTCAAGAGCAAAATTTGTGACCCAAACTCCTGATTGGAATCCTGACAGCTGTTAGTAAGAGTTTAGTTTTTATTCTATTAATTAACCTTACTGAGCTAGCATAGATAGCAAACAATACCCCTATGACTCCCTTTCCCCCTTCTTTCTCCTGTGCCCTCTCACTGCCCCATTGACACCGCCAGCTTTATCTGGGTACTCCCTTCACTCCAGCCACATACACTCATTTCCATTGCAGTTCCCCAATCTCACTCCCACAGTACAGATAATGACATACAGCAGTTTGAGCCTTAACTTATTTTGCCTTTGAAATAAAATCTTTGTTTTAATGAACTGTCAGTGGAGAGTTCCATTAAGCTGAAGAGACAGCAAAATGAATAAAATAAAATAATATAAAACATTTACTTAATGAAAGTCACTGAATAGCCAAAGATGTCTGAGTGGGCTTCCCTGGTGGTGCAGTGGTTGAGAGTCCGCCTGCCGATGCAGGGGACACGGGTTCATGCCCCGGTCCAGGAAGATCCCACATGCCACGGAGCGGCTGGGCCCGTGAGCCATGGCCGCTGATCCTGTGCGTCCGGAGCCTGTGCTCCGCAACGGGAGAGGACACAGCAGTGACAGGCCCGCGTACAAAAAAAAAAAAAAAAAAAGATGTCTGAGAAACCTCAACATAATTAACTCCTATGGGGTTAGTTGGTGCAGGCATTATGCTCTCCCCTTCTTTTCAAGAAAGTTACAATCCAGATAGGATGTCAGGACATGTACCAATAAAGAGAAAAAATGCAAAATGGGAAACTGTGCGCCAGTAAGTGACAAAGAATAATTGCAACGGCTCCCGAGTGCTACCTCATCTTCTTTAGGAACCAGAAGAACCCACTTGTGTCTGGCTTAACTGAAAGGCACAGAGTTGACTAGTAAAATGTCAGGTTGAAAAAGCCTCCATTAAAACACACAAACTTCTTTTAGAAGTATCATTTGTTTAACGATGTTGGCGCACCAAGTATGCTGTCCCTAACAGCAGTCAAGCATTAAATGTAAGCTACCCTCCAATTTGAAGAGGCAAACCTGTTCTTGAGGATGGCGTATCCAATTGAAAATGTAAACCTTATCTAATAAATTCTCCCCACTCCAGCAGCTCACCCACCCCAGCATTGGCCTCCTTTAATACCCTAGTTCTCGGGGACTTCCCTGGTGTCCAGTGTGTGAGACTCCACGCTCCCGATGTAGGGAGCGTGGTTTCAATCCCTTGTGGGGGAACTACATCCCACATGCATGCCGCAACTTACAGTTCACACGCTGCAACTCGGAAGCCCACATGCCGTGCTTCTTAGCCCTCAACTAAGACCCAGCGCAGCCAAGATAAATAAATAAATATTAAAAGAAAATAATAACCTAGTTCTCTCTCACAGCCTCTGGCGTACACTCCTCTCCCACACAAGGTTGTCAACCCGTCTTCACCCCTCTCACAGAGGACTAGCTCATTTTCTCTACCACCTCCACCTACTTCCTACTGGACTCAAATCTTTTCATATTGAATTTCTGCTGACCTTGAATTAAACCACATCCTGTTTTGGGCCACAGAAAAATCAAGGGGGAAAAGCAGAGCTTATAGTCTGTAATGATTTTTTGGCTGCTTAGTCACATGTACAATATCAAGGGGAACAGCATTCCAGAGACAAAGCTGCCTGTTAGTTCACCTGTACACCGTGCTTATCACCCTGCGACTTAGGCGTGAGATATTCTACTGAATTGGTATCGCTTCCCATTCTGGAAA